TAAAAAGGAAGACACTATGCAAGAGAGTTTGTAGCTTGAGGCTTTTGTGGAGTATTTCTCAATGCAAGAATGAGCATATGAGTTGGAATAATCCGTGTATGAGATAATGTATGTGATGATGCATGTGTTGTTGTGTCTGATAGTGTATACGATGTTATGAGATGTCTTATGTAAGAATATGACTCTCTCCTTGAATGTGTTAATATGAGGGCTTTTATACCTCATCATATTTGGAGAGGTTGGGCTTTAGCCCAATTGGCTTACTTTGTGGGCTGACTTTTGACTTTTGAGCAATTGGAGAGTTGAACCTTGACCTTGGGCTTTTAATTGGATCATTTAGTGCTCAGGCCCAATTTTGACTAAATTGGACCCAAACATAAAGTTCTATATATAGCTAGAATTGCATTAGATAATATTTTACTTGAGTATTTTTTTTAGGAGAAAAGATACATAGAAATCTAGGGAAGTTTTCTTTCAATACTAGTAAAACTTGACTTATCTCAGTGATAAAATAAGAATTTTTTGTTTTACTATTTTCACTTCATATTAGTTGTTTTATTTTTTTTTTTTTTTTTTTTTATTTTTTTTTTTTTTCTGGAAGTAAAAGAGTCACAAGGACGAGTTATGAAAAACAATCACAGGATTACCTGAAATCTGGAGGGAAATTCTAACCACTTGAGCTATCCATCACTCTCACTTCATATTATTTGTAACGTAGAAATATTATTTGTAAAACATAAAATATTATTTATAACGTAGGGACAATGTGATTATTTTCTTTTAACAAGATAAATAAATTTGCAGCTTTCAATCTCAGCTACCAAGCAACTTTTTTTTATCCAGGAGGCCAATTCACAGGAAATAATAAAATAGATGTTTCCGGACAAGGTCAAACTCATGGAGAAGCTAAAGGCCAAGGTCAAGCAAAATTGGATTCAAACGCTAACTTTGGTAACCGCGTTGAAGGGTCATTAATAAAATTTCAGGTTCAGGTGAAACAAAAGGATTAGCTCAAGGGGAAGTTAAAGGTCAAACACAATTTTGGTGGACGTACAAATGAGTAGCAATGCAAATTATAATAAAACTCTAATGTTTATGGAAATGAAGTACCTTATAGTTCAGGTCAAAGGTCAAGCATAGCATTAAGTTCCATCAAGACATGAATTTGCAACAACAACATAAGTACTGTATTTTAGAGAGTCATTTTGTCAACCCTTGTACTAACCTTAATCATATAATGTATCTGACATTGTTTTTAAATGGAATGAACAATTTACATTATTTTCCTTTACATATATTAATTTTGTCTATAAGCTCACATGATTTATTTAGCATTTTTCTTATGTTTTCTTTAATTTATTTAATTTTAAAGCACATATGATATGTTTAATTTATAGCATAGAAGACCTTCCATATATATTCTTTATTTCACCACTTCAAATAGGTTGTTCGGTCAAAAGAGTATGCCCATCCCATTCCTGCCTTTCCCGTACTTTTTTTGCCATGAACCATCCACCATTACGGTCACCTCTAGACTTGCATTCCGAAGATTGCTTATTAGAGCTCCTTCACTACCAATGTTCACTCTAGCAAGCCCGGCGGTGCACCTTTGTCATCTATGGCCTTGGCTGAAAGAGAGCTTCTCGCATCCGACCTTTGCCAAACAGATAAAAAACTCATAGTAGAGCTGTAAATCCTGAATAAGTCCACCAAATACCCTCCCTCATTGTTAAACACCCTTCCATTCCTTGTCAGCCAAAGGCTCCAAAGCACTCCAATGAAAGTATTAATTCTTTCACTATTCCTTCCATCCTCGCTAATAAAAAGCAGGATATATTTTTGAATCCAGTGTCGCAGTGGAGCTGAGTAGATTCATCAAGTTCAGAGAAGATATGCAGCGAACAGTTCTGCCAAGCAGACCTTGCAAAAGAGCACATCCTAAATAAATGTTGTAGATCTTCCGTCGCCATACCACAAGAATCACAAAGTACCTCTACCTCCTCCCCTCTATGAGCCAAATTTGACTTAACTGTCAAACCATTCATAATAAGCTTCCAGAGGAATAAGCTCCATTTTGGCAGTATGTTGAGCTTCCAAATGAGCTTGTAAAAATCAAATTCTCACAAAACACCCTGTTGCAAAGAAAAATCACGCTTTATAAAAGCGTACCCTAACTTCATAGTATACAATCCCGAGGAATGAACCCCCAATAAAGAACATCATGCTCCTCAGATGATGGTAACTCCATTTCCACAATCTTCTATGCCGTACTCCATCTTTCTCTGAAAAAAAGAATATTACTTACTCCAATGTTAGCGTAATTATTAGAGACACGGTAAAACATTGGATGAGTCGAACTTGCCATTAAGTGATCTCATTTTAAGAAAGAAAAAATAATACTTTGTTGAGTTGCTTACTCGAATCGCGTGAAATCCTCACTGCCCAATCGGGCAACCCGTGCCCGGTCGGACCGGGCGGTGAGGATTGGAAGTATGCAGAAGGCAGCCACGAAGAACCCCACCCGCCCGATCGGGCAGCCCTTGCCCGGTCTGACCGGGCGGTGAGGGGTAGGTGTTGCGGAATGGCAGCTTAAGTTCTTCTCCCACGTGCCCGATCGGGCAGGCCTTGCCCAGTCTGACCGGTCGGTGGGAGGTAGACTTCGTAGCTCTTGCTTTTGGGAGGTTTCTTCTCGCGCCCGATCGGGCAGACCCTGCCCGGTCTGACTGGGCGGAGAAGGAAATTGACGGGGCGCGTTTTTGCGGTTTTAAAGTTATCTTTTATATATTATCTTTTTGCCCAAGTATCTTTTATTTTAGGGATTAATATAAAAACTCTCTAATATCAGTATTAGGGTTAGAGGGAGAGAGAAAGAGCCGTTCTTGAGAAATACATTATTCATCTTTGTAATCTTTGCAGTTTATAGTGAAAACTTTGATCTCGGTATCCGTGGATGTAGCTATCACATTGATAGTGAACCACGTTAATTCTTGGTGTGTTGTTCTTATTGTTTGCATTAAATTTCTTTATTGTTTTCTTTATTGTTTCGATCTTTGCTTCCGCTTTCGCACAACATACTTCCTCTACATTTTAATAATTGTTTCACTTATTAAATGCGGCAGTGTTCTAATATGTGTTAAATTTTTTTTTTTTTTTTTTTACAAAAACTACATTTTAATATAGAGTAGTATTATATCTTTATCTTTTTATGGTCCCCTCTCAAACCCATTGCTACTTTTTTATTACTCCTTCCATTTTTAAATACTTGCTTCACCATTTTCGGCCGTTTTTTTTAATACTTGCTCCATTTCCTTATTTGAAAAGTTTTTACAATATTTAATTCATTTTTCTCAACTAGTGGACCCAACATAAATCATAATTTATTAAGTTCATATTCTCTTATCCAATTCTCTCAATTACTTTTGCTTTTTGCAATTTTTTATTTTTTCACTTATCCTACTACTTCCATATTTTATTACTTTTTCGGTTTTTCCAATTTCTCTAAAACTCCGTGTATGGAGAAATAGAGCAAGTATTTAAAAACGGAGGCAGTATTTTTTTTTCCTCATTACTCTTCAATAAATTATTAACCATATTTCTTTTACAATTTTTTAATATTCCAACTAATCTACTCACCTCTTATTTTATTTAAGTCAATGAAATTCATGTCATAGTGTAACAGTTTTGTAACACGAAGGGAGTTATCATTATTTATAGTTTTAGTGATCATATTCGAGAATTGCAGTAATCACCTTTTACACCGACAACTCCTAGGCAACCAATAATGCAAAGTTGTCTAGTGGAAGGATTCCTCAAGTTTCTTTTTGGGCTTAATCCATGTCTTAAGCCTAAACTTGCTCAAATGATGACGAAAATACCCCTCCATAATATAATCCAGTTCATCATCTTTAATCATCACATAAATACTCTATATTACGGATTTATCCCTAATTCATCTAGAAAGTACATACAATTTTGTCTCATAAAAACTTAAAAAGTACATATATAAATAGCAAATCAATGCTAGTAACTTTTCTATTCTCTCTCTTTCTCTACCTACTTTCTCACTCTAGAAAGTATATTTTTGACTTGACGTCAGAGGAGCGTTCCCGAGTCAACAACCCCTATGGCAGCTTAGCTTACTCTTTTTCTTTTGCAGGCTAACCTTCCAAACATCTTGATAAGGCTACTCTAGTACTCTACAAGTACATTTATAAGACTGACTTCTTGCTTCCCCAAAATACCCATACACTCAGTTGAGGACTTTTGTTTCCATAAACAACTTCTATGATTTTTTTTAATAGAATGTTAGAGAGCATCTACTTGATTGCAGCCTTGTGGGATCATGAGGAGAAAGAGATTTGAGGAAAAGAGTGGCAAACTAGCATGCAATTGACAGTGGTGGTAGTGGAGTGTCTTTGTAATCCAAGAGTTGAAAAGTACTACTCATTTGAATACTTAGTGCACCAATGTATTACTGATTTACACAATATTTTATGTCTAATAATTAACTTTTTTCTTAGATGTAAGATGAATAACATATGAGTAGTTAAGTTACCATCTCTGTTTCTTATTATTTACAATTTTTTTTTTCCGAATAATACCCCTTTATTGTAAATAATAAAAAATGGAGGTGGTATTAGTTTACCATAATCATTGACTTGTTGAGTTAATTATTTTACATGATTATATCAAACGGTCATGGCCTAGGAATCACATGACAAGTTAATACAATGTAGATTCAAGCAACATTATTTATGCATGAATTGGTATTTGGAATGAGATTAATTAGCTAGGCAAGGAAAAATAAACATTTTATACACTAATCTGAAAAATAATTTCTTATACAAATTATCAAAATTCATACCAAGTAGAAAATAAAGTTTTCGATCATAAATCCAATTAATATACACTTTACTATACGCAATTTGAATTTGATTTTTTTTTCTTCGTTCTCTACGTGTTATTCATTCCATAATAATATCTTAATCCTTACACAACAGTTGGAATTTCTTCTTTGAATTAGTTGTAGTTTCCCTTTTTTTGCTCTCTATTTTACTCATTTACTCTAAAAATCAATAGCTATATTTAGTTAAATTACTAAATTGAGAAAAATATACAGTTACATTTCTTTGAAAATCACATTGTAGTCTTAACCATGCATACATCCTAAAACATTCCGCAAATAAACGTATGGTGGAGAATCACTCATCGCATTTTTCCCAATGTCTTTATATACCCCCATCTTAATTCTTTTTCTCACAAACAAAAAAAAAAAAACTGAATTATCTTACCTTAATATCATCTCATTTATTAAATAAAAATTACAAGAAAAAAAAAAGTAGAAAACATAAAAAGAATAGTGTTAGTCTTCTTCAACTTTTCGTATACAATTTGATCATTAAGAATAAATTCAATGGCGTCTTACTTCCTAAAGATCACCGCTATTCTTTATGTAATGCTCATTATCTTTTTTTTCTTCTTGTAAATGATATAATTTGTTACTTCTTCTTTATATTTACTAATTTCTTTTTTTTTTTTTTGTCGACTTTATACAGATTGCAATAACAGTTACCGAAGCAACATTTTTGCTTCCAGCCTTATTAGGAGGGGGCATCCAACAAGGAGGTAAGGATTAGTGAAAATATGTTTAATTACTTTTTTTTTTTTTTGAAGGATGTTTATTTACTTTATTTAATTACTTGTTACTCCACTCATTTATTTTCCCTCGCATTTTAATTTGCCAGCAGGTATAAATGGAAATTATGATTTTTTTTTAAAAAAATTGTATTTAATAAGGTCCTATAAGATTTAGTTGTATTATTTCCTACAATTACAAACATTTATAATTGATTTAAGGTGATATAACACATCTAAATCTTTGTTCTTTTTTTTTTTTTTCAAGGTCAATTTGGTGGCAAATTTGGCTTCAATCACCAATTAGGAGGGGGATTCAATGCAGGTGGAAATAAGGAAGTTTCTGGTGGAGGTGGAGGCGGAGGCGGATTTGGAGGCCATGGGACATTTGAAAGCAATGCACAATTTGGAGGCAATGCTAATTTTGACAAACATGTTGGAGGCGGATTCGGAGGCCAAGGGGCACTGCAAGGTAATGCTAATTTTGACAAGCATATTGGAGGTGGATTTGGAGGCGGATATGGAGGCCAAGGGGCATCGCAAGGTAATGCACAATTTGGAGGTAATGCTAATTTTGACAAACATATTGGAGGTGGATTTGGAGGCGGATTTGGAGGTAATGCACAATTAGGAGGCAATGCTAATTTTGACAAACAAATTGGAGGGGGATTCGGAGGCCACGGGAAATCGCAAGTTGATGTACAATCGGGAGGCAATGCACAATTAGGAGGTAATGCACAATCGGGAGGTAATGCACAATTAGGAGGCAATGCTAAGTTTGGCAAACATATTGGAGGGGGATTCGGAGGCCACGAAAAATCGCAAGTTGATGTACAATCAGGAGGTAATGCACAATCAGGAGGTAATGTACAATCAGGAGGTAATGCACAATTAGGAGGCAATGCTAATTTTGACAAACATATTGGAGGGGGATTCGGAGGCCACGGGAAATCGCAAGTTGATGTAAAATCTGGAGGTAATGCACAAGTAGGAGGTAATGCACAAGCAGGAGGTAATATACAAGCAGGAGGTAATGTACAATCAGGAGGTAATGTACAATCAGGAGGTAATGCACAATTAGGAGGCAATGCTAATTTTGACAAACATAATGGAGGGGGATTCGGAGGCCACGGGAAATCGCAAGTTGATGTAAAATCTGGAGGTAATGCACAAGCAGGAGGTAATGCACAAGCAGGAGGTAATGTACAATCAAGAGGTAATGCACAATTTGGAGGCAATGCTAATTTTGACAAACACATTGGAGGGGGATTCGGAGGCCACGGAAAATCGCAAGTTGATGTAAAATCTGGAGGTAATGCACAAGCAGGAGGTAATGCACAAGCAGGAGGTAATATACAAGCAGGAGGTAATGTACAATCAGGAGCTAATGCACAATTAGGAGGCAATGCTAATTTTGACAAACATATTGGAGGGGGATTCGGAGGCCACGGGAAATCGCAAGTTGATGTACAATCAGGAGGTAATGCACAATTAGGAGGTAATGTACAAGCAGGAGGTAATGTACAAGCAGGAGGTAATGTACAATCAGGAGGCAATGCTAATATTGACAAACATATTGGAGGGGGATTCGAAGGCCACGGAAAATCACAAGTTAATGTACAATCAGGAGGTAATTCACAATTAGGAGGTAATGCTAATATCGGAGGTAATGCAAAATTAGGAGGTAATGCTAATATCGGAGGTAATGTAGGAGTCAACACAGGTGGAAATGTAAGAGGTTCAGGTGAAGGGAATATGGATAAAAGTAATGAAGGTTCTGTAGGCTCTAACTATGGTGTAAATGGTGGAGGTTCAAACCACGGAGCAAGCCAAGGTAAATCACAATCGAACAACAACGTCAACAATAATAAACAAGGTGGAGGATCTACAAGTTCCAATAATGGTGTGAATATGGGAGTTTCGGGCGCTGACCAACATAAAAGCTCAAGCCAAAACAAATCACAATTAGATAGCAATGTTAAACAAGGTGGAGGATCTACAAGCTCTAATAATGGTATGAATACAGGTGTTTCAAGCTCAAACCAACATAATAAACAAAGTGATGTAAAAAATTCCTCAACCAAAGAATCAAGTGATCAATCTTCTAAAGCAAATCAAAATTCAAATGAGTCTTTAGGAAAAACACCTAGCCAAGCTTCTGACAAGTCATCAGGGAAAAATTACAGCAAATCGTCGGAGAAATCTTCTCAACAAGGAGAAGGTCATCAAACGTCAGGTTAATCTTCAATCTGTTATATCTTTTATCATATACTTTTAGTCATTAATTTGGAAAATAATTAAAATAATTTTATACACCAGGCAATAAAGCTAGTGAATCTTCTAGAAAGAGTTCATCTGAGAACACTACTGAACAAAGATCAAGTAATAAAGGAGGCACATCCTCAGAAGATTTGTCAAGAAAATCTTCAAAGAAAGGAGCAAGTGAATCATCAGGAGAAACCCATAATCAAAATTCAGGAAAGTATTCTGGAAACGGAAAAGAATCTAATAATTCAGGTCTATCATATAACCAAGGTTCTGAAAAATCTTCCAGCAAAGGATCAACAAACCAGTCATCCGATGGTAAAACTTCAAAGTCTTCCAACCAAGAAACGGGACACTCTTCAGGAGCAACCCAAGCCTCTAATAAATCTTCGACTCATTTCTCTAGTCACGAATCAAACTCATCAAGCCATTCATCACATAACTCTTCTTCAAAGTCTTCAAGCAATTCATCCTCAAACAAATGCACATGTCAAGATTCAACTAGCCCGCCGTCTGCCCACACATCTAGAAAACTACTAGCTAATGCTGAATAGATTCAAATACAATACAAGGGGCATATAATTGTTATATACCTCTAAAACTTGCATTGTTGGTTGCATGCACCAATAATTATGTTGAATCCTACATTCCTACATAATATCCTAGGGTTTGGAATAATATCTTGGACATTGTGATTTCGTTCAATATATTTAAGCTACTATTTTATGATTCAATAAATTTACATTTTTTGTAATATTGGTTCATTCATTTATATCGATCGTCTTACTCTTAATTTATTTGTTTAGAAAGAGAATTTCAATTGTTACCTAGTGTTATATATTACAGCATAAGAACTTAAAAAAAAAATTAATATGTTTTTATTTTTTAGTCATAATATAGGTATTGAAAAAGAAATAGGATTATATGCTCTAATACCCATTCAAGTGCTAGGTTAAATTCAAAAATATATGAAGTCCTTTAAATTTTCTATTAGTCATTGTGTTCAAATATATAAAATTACATTTTGAAAACTTTTAATGATAAAATTCAGCAATAATTTTCTACTAATATTAAAAAATGTACTTTAATGTGATGTTTCGGGATTTTTTAATTTGAATACCTGAAAAAGGGGTATGGTCGTATGGATTATTCCCTCGGGAGACAAATTCGGAATGCAACACTTGTACGACACTACGATCAAGACACCTGCAAAACAAAGAATCTTCGGTTATCGTAGATTCGCCTCCGACGATCAAGATAGATAGTGACGTGCAACGAAAGTTTAGAGCGATCGAGAGAAAGTGGAGAGAAGTGAAAGCATATTTTGCGTAGAGTGCCTTTTGTCATTTTCAATCTCCTATTCCCATCATTAAACAATGGGGCATTTATAAGGATGTGGGAGGTCATGTGCCTACGGTTTCATAACCTAGGAATATCGGTTGTCCTATGCGTGATAACACAAGTCTTAGGATATGCTTTATGCTAGGTATTCTTCTTTTAATGGGCTTTGAACCCTTCTTTATCTGTTGTCTCTTTTAGGTCATGTGTCCTGCTCATATTGACTTTTATAGTTGAATTAATGTCACATATCAGCTTGTGATTGGATCACTTATTAGGATTTCATTTGTCTATAATAGAGGTTTAAAATACCCCAAACAGTAGGCACTCCTAAGATTTGAGATGAGTAGAGTAAGTAGTATATGGTAGCCTTAGCTCCACTTATTGGTAATATAAAAATAATTAAGCTAAACTTTTTGGGACAAATTAAAGAGATAAAGCTTATTGGCCTCTTGATTTTTTTAAAAAAATATTATTTCTCCCTCTACCTTTTATTTCATCTTCATATATATTTGGATTTTTTGGTGAAACAAAAAAAAAATTATAAAAAAAGAGTCAAAGTGAGATAAAAAGGCATTAGATGGAGCACATCAATTAATTTTTTTTTATACATAGTCTTAACTGACGTTAAATCAAACAATGTGTTATATGTTACATATAAAACACCAAGGACATACTTATTTAATCCCTAATTTATACAACACAAGGAAATACTAATAATCGCGTTCTCTGTGGATGATCGAATATTATCTTAGTTAAAGTTTTGAGAGGTGTGCTGACGTGACGTGATCATATATCGTCTGCATTAATTACCATTATGTACTGTCTCTCTCTATATCCAAATAAATAAATAAATAAAACAAAAAAAAACATTCTCTTAGGAGGCCTAGGTACGTGTTGAACGAAACTTTCATACTTCACACTTCACACTGCAATGGCAAATGCAATACTAGAACCAAGCATAAAACAACTTTTGTCGTCGTCCTTTGTAACCTTAATTATGAGACTTATCATGCCATGGAAGATTTAAATTGAAGGCATGGGCTTGATCATGGCTAGCTAGGTTGCAAAAACTAAACATAGTCATATTGCCTTGTGACTCGATACCCTTAACATTGGTGCACGCAGTCTGATCTCCCTATTGAATGGGATCGGAGAGACTCGATGATGATGTTGGAATGATACGTACCTCAAAAAACAATGGCCGAATATTATACTGAAAAGGATGTACAATTATGTACCTTATTACTTTTCTAAGCTTGTCTTGTTCTATGTTAGTTGAACAATATTAGCTAGGAGAACTACAATGTGTCAATGTACTACTACTATGCATGGGATAGTATCTCTAGTTAATTATTCTCTAATAGTTTGTTTTTTTTAAGCTTATTGAGTCTTTGATTATCTGTTTTATGATTTTTTTTTTAAGACGAAAGAATACCAATTAAAGTAGATCATATTGTAAGAGTAGTCATGATATCTATTCATCTTTATTTTCTCCCTTAAGTTAGATAATTACGTGCAAGACAATTAGAGGAGTAATATTCCTACGAGTATGTATCTTTGTTGACATGTAGCACAGCTCAATAAATTAAGTAGTTGTTTGTTAAAATTTGTGTCTTCTTTATTGGTTAATGCAATAAAGAGTATTCCTTCAATTAATAGATTGGTAAAAGGTAAACCAAATGATAATGGTCCACTTAATTACTAAACACTAGATTTAATTTTTATGCACGCAATAATATATACTTTGTACGTAGTATTATTTAATTAGTGGATGAATAATAATGCACTGTGCAACATGTATATGATTATCCTCAACTTAAAAGGGCAATTAACTAACTATAAGAAAATGCTCCAATAAATAAATTACGAAGGGCAAACAAATTACTTAATTTAAAACCGAATTTATTATATATATATATATATATATATATATATATATTGAAGGACGTGAAAAGAAACGTATATGTTATGATTTTTATGTCATTTAAGAACAATGTCCATAAAAAAAAATTATATACATAATTAGTTAGTTAATTATGTCGTATATTTATATAAATCTTAATAAAAGTATCTTTTATTCATGTAAAATTAAATTTATTAATATCTATGTCTATATATTTGTGCTATATATTCAATTAGTTATTGGTTGTATGACTTATGTTATAGGTTTTTTGGGGCACAATGCTTAAGAAAATATATATTGGTGAATATGATATAAGGTTATTATTGTGTCTATAGTTTTCGTGAATGTGACGGGTAAAACAGGTATTAGTTTGTGTTGAGCCTTTTGGTTTTGATGGACAAATTGACAAACTCGACTAATGAATGTTTTGAGTCTTTGGTGAATAAAGGATTCAAGCAAAGTTCGTTCCGGAGTAGGAACTTGGATGCGGAGTAGCATTCTTTAAAAAGCCTCGTGCAAATCTCACGTTCTAGTTTTAATTGTGAGCACTCAATAATATAAAGTCGGAAAGGAACTCAATGACTTATGTTAAAGACTACTGGAATAAAAGTTAGTTTTAAAAGATAATTTCTTAAAGAAAAGATAATTTGTAAAAGTTTTAATAAAGATAATTATCGAAGATAATTATCTAGTTGTTTTAATAAATAATAAATTTATCTTTTCAAATAAAATCTTTTTAAACAAACTTTTGATAATCTTTTAAATAAATATTTGATAAAGTTAGCAAGTGGTTTTTCTGTGAGAAAATCTTTTATACGGCTAATGGTTATCAAGTTGTTAGGATAGTGGTTTAATTAGATAAGGCTAGGAAACCTCTTCATGATCACAATCTGTCAAGATAACTCCACAAGTTGTTAGTGGGTTGTTGACATGTGGACGTGATTATGGTGGAGGTTAATGACTAAGCCTTCTCTATAAATACTCATGCAAACTATCTCAGCAAAATATAACTCTTGAGCATAAAAATTCCAGTAGCCTTCTAATAACATAAAGAGAGTTATTATCCTTCTTATATTCTTGAGTGCAATAGGTATTTGTAATCACATATTGTATTCAAGTACTTAGGGGTTGGGATTGTGAGTTTGTAAAGTGAGGTCAAGGAAGCTTCGTTGCTGAAGGCTTCTGTGAGAGTTGGGAACAAGTTCCTAGTTTGTGGAACTTGTTAACGGGTTTGAATCTTCACTTGTAAAGAGTTTGATTACATAGTGGAAATTTAGAAAAGCCTATATCTTCTCTCGTCATTATTTCATTTAGTTAAATTCCGCAAAAGTTTTTAGATTTCACCTCAAATACAATTCACCCCCCCTCTTGTATTAGCCAGTTAGACTTTCAGTTGGTATCAGAGCGGGAACTCAGAGCACGCAGGCAACCCTGTTGAGTAAGTTCCTGGGAAAATGGCTTACACAGAGGAAAAGGAATTCGGGAGTACATCCATTCAAAGGCCTCCATACTTCAACGGCAAATATTATCCTTATTGGAAGGATAAGATGGAAATCTTCATCCAAGCAGAGAATTATCAGGTATGGCGGATTATACAAGTAGGAGATTACGAAATTACGAAAACGAATGCTAACAATGAGGTAATCCCTAAACCTATGGATGAATATGAAAAAACTGATTTCGAAAAATTAGAAATGAATGCTACTGCCAAAAAGTTTCTAATTTGGGGACTTGGACCCGATAAACATACTCGTGTCAAAGGGTGCAAATCCGCAAAGGAAATTTGGGATCTTCTGGAAGTTACACATGAAGGAACGTCAGATGTTAAACGTTCCAAAATAGATATTCTTTTATCTCAGTATGAGCGCTTTGAAATGGGAAACAAAGAATCCATTAAAGACATGTTTACTCGATTTAAAAGTATTACTAACGAACTAACGTGTCTTGGTAAGATAATTCCTATAGATGAGCAGGTCAGAAAAGTCTTAAGAAGTCTTCCAGACAATGACAGATGGAGAGCAAAGGTTGCAGCGGTGCAGGAATCAAAAGACTTCACCAAGTTCAATCTGGAACAGCTTGCGGGTTCCCTCATTACTCACGAGATCCAGTCGAACAATCGGACTCAGGAGACTGTCAAAAGTCAAGGGCTAGCATTAAGAGCTAATGAAGAATCCGAAGAGAAGTCTGACATCGATGAAGAAGAAGCTGCAATGTTGGTGAGAAGGCTGAAAAAATTCTACCGTAACAACAAGTTTTTAGACAAGAAGAAAGGATACAGTAAAAGAAATCAGGAACCCAAAGCCAAGTCTTCTTGTCACAAATGTGGAAGCACCAACCACTTCATCAAAGAGTGTCCATTATGGGAATCTGAGAAAGGCAAGGGAAAAGAAGCTGATCAAAGCAGAAATTCCAAGCCTAACTTTTCTAAAACAAATTTCAGGAAAGCAATGATTTCCACGTGGGGAGAATCAAGTTCCGAAGAAGAGGAACAGGAACACACAGACGATGAA